ATGGATGTCGAACTGTCCGAGCTCAATAGCCCACTTAACCATGCGTCCCGAGGTGTCAGGTCGGTGCAGGATTTGCCGAAGTGGATACGAAGTGCGAACAGTTACAGAATGCTCTTGGAAATGAGGTCGCAATTTCCGGGCTGCAATCACAAGTGCAAACGCCAACTTTTCCATCGGAGGATAACGTAGTTCGGCATCGTGCAAGGCTTTGCTGACGTAATAGATAGGTGATTGCAGCAATCCCTCTTCGCGTATTAAAACAGCGCTAATGGCAGAATCACTGACTCCGAGGTATAAGAGCAACATTTCCTCGGGTTTCGACTTTTGCAAAGTCGGGGGAGAGACTAGCGTCTCCTTGATACTATCAAGAGCTTTTTGGCATTCCTCGGTCCATTCAAAACGTTTTCCTTTCTTAATTGCTTCAAAAAAGGGTCTGCAACGATCTGTAGACTTGGAGATGAATCGGTTGAGTGCGGCCAGTCGGCCGGTTAGGGCCTGAACGCCCTTAACCGAGGTCGGTGGAGTTAGCTCTTGAATGGCCTTTATTTTGGCCGGATTGGCTTCAATTCCCCGCTGGCTAACCATATAGCCCAAAAACTTTCCGGACTCAACTCCAAAAGTACATTTCCTAGGTTTAAGACCATGGAATAAGATCGAAGGATGGAAAACATTTCTTGAAGATGTGTTATATGATCTGAGGCGTGTACCGACTTGACGAGCATGTCGTCAACGTAAACTTCCATAGTGTGACCGATCAATGTAGCGAACATTTTGTTGACAAGGCGTTGATATGTGGCTCCGACGTTCTTTAATCCGAACGGCATCATAGTATAACAGTACAAGCCTCGGGCCGAATAGAATGAAGTGTGTTCATAATCTTCAGGATCCATAGGAATTTGATTGTAGCCGGAGTAAGCGTCCATGAAACTCATCAACTCATGTCCCGACGTGGCATCAACCATGTAATCTATGTGGGGAAGTGGATAACTGTCCTTTGGGCATGCCTTGTTCAGGTCGGAAAAATCGATACATAGCCTCCATAGCCCATTGCTCTTTTTGAAAAGAACGGGATTTGAGACCCACGTCGGGTATTTGGCTTCCTTGATGAACTTGTTGTCAATGAGTTTTTTGACTTCTTCTTCCAACGCCTTCTGACGCTCCGGCCCCAGTTTCCTCCTCTTTTGCACAACAGGTCGGATTGTTGGATCGAGGTTTAGTTTGTGGCTAGCGACACCGGGGTCGATGCCCTTCATATCCTCGTGTTTCCAAGCAAAAACATCAGAATTCTGTTTGAGAAACGAGATAAGTTCTGACCAAAGTGGTTCTTGAAGATGACTTCCGATGCGCAATGACTTGTGGAAGACTGGTTCATCGATATAGACCAATTCCACGTCTTCTCCAGGTTCGGCTCGATCAGTTCGACTTTTTTCTTTAAACAATGCTCCGGGGTCCAACTCGTCTTCTTCAAGAAGTGGCTATTTCCAGTCCGGCGACCTCGGTCTTCGGTTAAAGGATCCGAGGTGGAAGAATCGCCGACGTGGGTGTTTGGTTCTTCGGAGACCGCGTCGTTCGCGAGCTTCTCTTTGATCTCCGAAGTGGGTTCCCTCTCCTCGGGTTGTCGAGAATTTTAAGGCGTAGTGAAAGATAGAAACTGCAGCTCGAAGTTTATACAATGTCGTTCTGCCAATGATGGCGTTGTACTCATTATTGATATCCATAACCTTGAAAGTTTCCATGACGAGTTTGGTGGCATTCTCCGAAGTGCCGAATCGGACAGGTAAAATGATTTCGACGATGGGCTTTGAAATACTCCCGTTAAACCCTTGTATTTGATCATTGCAGGGTCGAATCTCGGCGGGATCAAGACCCATTTTATCAAAATCTCTTAACATCAAAATGCTCGAATAGGCCCCAGTATCCACCATGACGCGATGAACTGGAATTCCGCATATGGGGACGGTGATAACAAGCGCATCGGAATGAGGGTGTGCGAAGTGATTAGCATCTTCCATATTAAAGGTTATGGGACAGTTCCGATTGTTGAGAATATCTCTCAAATCGGTAGTGTAGACCTGTTTGCTAGAGTTGTGCGCTTGTCGGGCATACGCCTTGACCTGTCGACGGGATAATGTACTCCGGGGGTTATTGGTATTGACCCGGTGGACAGTGATTTGCATCGGTATAGGAGATCGATCTCGTTTGCGTCCTCGGGAAGTTCCAGCAGAGTTAGATTAAGACGTCTCCGAGGTGAACATGAATACTTCGTTGTCTCCTTGTCGAATGCGTTTTGGCATGGCACCTCGGTCCTCCTCATCGTCTTCATCATTAAAGTGTTCGATCTGGCGTCCAGGACCTCGCCTCTGGGGATCAGTATTACGATAAAATTTTCTAAGCTGCGGATGGCCAATCAAACGCAAAAATGCGGCTAACAAACTCAAACACTCGTCCGTGTTGTGCCCTGGCGACTTATGATAATCACAATATCGGGATTTGTCTAGTTTTTATTCGGGCATCCGAAGTGGTTTGGGATCTGGTAATATGCCCTTCCCCTTGATTTCTTCATATATGGTGGCTGCCCCTGCAGAATATACGGTTTGATAACCGGATTTCACGTCGGTAGCGTATTGTTTGCGGGCAGCTCGAACTTCAGGATCATTGGGGTCTCCTCGGGGAGGTCCCCTGAATTGAGTCTTACTTTGCTTGTCAAAAAATTTATTCTTCCTTTTTTCGTCGGTTCCCGCTTTAGAAGACTTCGGGTTAAAGTTAAAATCGGGAACCGACATGGCTTCTTCCGCTATGATGTGCTGCTGGGCTCGAGCGAGAAATTCTTGAAAAGTGTTCGGTTTATTTTGGGATAGTGTCCAGTGGAAAATCGAATTCGGTTTCAATCCAGCAATAGCCATGACAAGCAAGGTTTCAGGATGACAAGGTTCCATATTCTGAACTCGGTCATTGAACTGGGCAATATAATCCTTGACACTTTCATCATCTTTTTGAGTGATATTCGCAAGAGATTCTTTTGGGATAAGGCATACTTAAGCCCCGATGAAATGAGATCGAAAAGCCGACCTCAGTTGTTGCCACTTCCAAATTGAATGAGGAGGAAGAGAATGGTACCATTTTTGGGCCCGAGGCCCCAGTGTAAGTGAAAACATACGACACCGAAGTGCGTCGGAGGCCCCATGTAGATCCATCCATGAAGTATAATGACCGAGGTGCGAGTCAGGGTCAGATGTTCCATCATATAGCCCGATCTGGGGGACCTTGACTTTTCCAGGTACCGGTTCCGAAGTGAGCTCTTGAGTAAGGGGAGAATCGGCTTCCGAATACACTTGCGCCGAAGTGGAGGCCCGCCGAGGTGGATCTTCAGGTGCACGTTGCCTTCCAATTTGGCTATTCTTCGTCGCAGTGTTTCAAGTTCGGATGACACTTGACGAGCCCGATTTCATTCGATATGCTGTCGAAGGTCGGTCTGCGCCGGGTTGGAGGGATTTCGGCGCTGTGCATGAGGCGGTGATCGTCGTGAATGACCCGACTGGCTTTCGGCAGTTTCTTCCGGAGGCGGTTGTGACATTCGATCACGAGGTTGAGATGTAGCGTGAGATGTTGTCCTTCCGCCGTCTTGTCGCGCTGGTGGATTCTGCCGGTTTGCGGGAGTCGTGGGAATGATGGAGTGTCCCGGAGCAGTCGTTGATGTTCCCGGCATCGTTTGGGCCATTAAAGCGGCAAAACCACGCGCAAACTCCGGATTTTGAAACAGAACAGCATAATCCGGTACAGGTGGGGCCACGGCTTGTCGTCTGGCAGATTGCGCGGCGCTACAACTGTGGCCGTCTCGTGAAGTGTGACCACGATGATCTGAGTGAGACATGGTGGATATGGCTGGCGTGACTCGTCACTTGGAAAAGTGGAGATTGACCTCAAATCACTTATGAGGCCCTCCTTCTAGCGCCAAACTGTTGTTATGTGATTTCTATCAACGATGTAACAAGTGATTAAGATGATAATTATGAACGATTTGGACGTAAAGCATGTAGAAATAACTCAACAATGGCCCCGGTCCGAGGTGAAGAGCCGTGATGGGCTTTTACGCGTTGCATGTTTTAAGAATTCGGGGATCCCTCCCTTACAAATGTCATGGGTTCACTATTTATAGTAGCTTTTTCAATATACATCTTGGGATTCGGGTACTACTTTTCGCATAAAGTGACTTTTGGTGGGCGGTTTGAAGCAGTGGTCCCCACATGAATGATGACGATCCTCGTAGAGTGTGATGTGAGTGTAGGCGCCTTGTCACCTGCTTAAGGAGATGACGACCTCGGTTTAAGTAGACCTCGGTAGGTATTGATCACCTCGGTCTTCGGTAATTCGGACTGGTTCATTGTCCGGACCGGTGTGGTGGTAAGATTACATCGGTTCAATGGTAATTTTCTCTTAACATGATGTTTGAAACCTCTTAATGGTGTTTTGCCGAGTCGGATGATAACAGTACTCACGCTCCCACTATTATGATTCTTTTCAGGAGACAGGGTCGGTCCGGAGGAGTGAGTGGAGCGGGTGGTCGCCGGTCCAGTACATGTAAAAATGTTTATATTTTTGCCGACTGTTGATATGTATATATTTGCCACGTTTTACTTCCGCTGACGTCTTTAGACTTTTAAACTAGCGTGTAAATTTTCAGGCGACGATCCGAGCTTTCGGGTCTAGTTTTATATAGTATCACGCGCTTGTTTTATAATGATAATCCGTTTTTCATAAATGGGTTTATAATTAACGGATTTCTAGAAAAGAAATATTTTATGTAGCATCCCAATATATGTTTCGCAAATTAAAACGTAAACTTTATAAAAGGATTTGCGAAAATCGCACTCTGATTTTAGTAAGCTAGTGGGGTGTTACAGAGTCGGTTCCGCTCGAGATATATCATGACTCGGAGTTGGTTGAACTGGCCTTATAATACCATCGGTGGAATCCGATGTTGGTGAGGCACTTAGATATTAGGCCAAACGATGAGGACGGTGATCTTGTGGTGGAGCATAATGCGGCTGATGTCAAAGAATCTCATTGGAGGAGGCCAGTGAGGATGTGGCCTGACCCGAGGATCGATTTTGAGGGTGAGCCGAGAATTTTGACCGATGCCGATGTGGTGATGCTTCGAAAGCAAGTTCAGATTCTACCCTCGGTAA